TGTGTGTCCCCATTGCCTGTCACTTGGAACCCTCCGGAGGCTGCGTTGGTCAGGGCTGATGCTCACCTGGAAGTACAGAAAGGCTTCTCAAGGGATTCTGACATTTTGAAAGCAGCCGGGGTCCCAGGATAAGGAACTGCCTGGTCGGGAGGGGGATTTCACAGAAAAGCCACAGCCTGACATCTGAGCAGTGTGGGCTTGGGGGGTGGGCGGGCAGCGTGGGTGGACGGCAGGAGGGCAGGACCCCGCGTGGGAACACCGCCTTCCCCAGGCCCAAGCCACCCCGGGCTGTGCCCATTAGACACCAATGTTTAATTAGTATCTGAGAGTAGAGCTTTGTCCCCAAGCATGCCATGGTTCTACCCCATCTCCCTCAGGAAAGCAAATGGAACAGGCCAGGAAAACGGGTGCTTCGTAAGAAGGGAGGCTGAAGAGAGCCCGACTGAAATCTCATGATTTTGCCTGGAGGACGTACATGAAGAAGTTTCTCATGTTTTTAATCCATGGTAGCATTTGTTAGCAGATGGTTATTTTAAAAGGGCTTTAGAAGGGTGTCTTAGGTGGCATTAGCAAGAAAGAACATCTCAGAGATCACCTAATGACCCTTAGCAGGAAAGACTGCAGGTCAGCCGCAGCCATTCCTTTTACTACAACGCCTTTCTCTTTGTTCTTCTTGGCAAACTCCTACTTAATCTTCAAAACCCAGTTCAATGTCACCTCTTGGTAAACCTTCCCTGAAGCCTGCTAAGGTATTTATGCTCCTAGCACTCTCTCTTTTATCCTGAATTGCACAGCATAAGCATCTCTCTCTTTGCCCCTGACTGTGAGGGTCTCAAAGGCGGCAAAGACAATATCTGCTCATCCTGATTCCACCCCAGGGACTATGCATGTGTGGGTTTTGGAGCAAAGTTTGGTGATGGCTGGAATGAATCACTATTCCTTCAGCGAGCTAACAGTCTGCAGAGTCAGGAAGTTCTTTCTTGGATCTCTCCTGCATTCAACTTGCTGCACCTGGTGCCTCTTGCCCGGGCCTGGGTGAAAGTGCAGACCAGCCGCTCCTCACTGCCGCCGTCCGCTTCTCTCCTCCTGACTAAGGGAAGGGGCAGTGGCTGGGTCGCTTCTTGTGTGATGAACAATCCCAAGGCCTGATGGATGCTTTGTAAAGCAGGGAATGTAGGTTACAACCGTGAGGAAGGAAGCTGATTCCAAGAGCTCCAGGCAGCGTGGCTTTGAGCGGGCAGCGGTGAGGCTAAGTATAGAAATCGGTTTTTCAGGGTGGAAAAAGAACACTGTGTTTTCTACTAATTTGTTCAGCCTAGGAGCATTTCTGAGGCCGCGGCTGTGGAGATGTCTAGCAGGAGAACAGGGCTGATTTCTTAGCTCTGGAGCTAGGCCTCCAGTATATCCCAGGGCTCAGGCGCTGCCTTCTTTTGGCTTTATTCCTGAGAGGCATTTGGAAAACCAAAGCTCAGACAGCTGAGCCGGGATGACCTCAAGGCCCGTGGCTTGAGGGTTTTGGGGTCACGGCCTACGTCGGGGAACGAAAAGCCCAGCCCTCGCTGATGTCTCCGCCAGAGGCTTCGGGCTGAGACTCCTTGCTGGTTTCACTGGACCCGCAGAGAATTGCATCTCTTCTCCTCTCCCAAGACCCTTGAAGTCTATTTCTTTTCTCTAAGGAAATGGGATTTCCATCTTCGAGGAGGCTCCAGGGCGCGTTCCTAACCCCTCCCTGATCCTTCATTACCGAGCCGGCAAAGAGGCCAGTGGTTCTGCTGAAATCATCTCTGCTGTGTCTTCAGTACTGAGCTCCGTTACTCAGATGCTGTTTTTGAAGAACCCCCTGTCTCCCTGTACTGGGGAGCAAACCCAGGGCTTCACACCTGTGGGAAAGCTCTCTACCACTCCCAGCCCTTTTCTTTTTAAATTTTGAGACAGGGTCTGACAAGTTGCTCAGGGTGACCTTGAACCTGGGCTCCTCCTGTCTCAGCCTTCCAAGTAGCTGGGATTACAGGTATGTATCACCATGCTTGGTGCAGACGGACATTCTTTAAACAAGGTGAGTTGCATGAAAGAAAGTGGCCACAGTTCTGCAGGAGGTTTCACTTTCATTCTGGTGGGGTTAAGGTCTCTTCCGCTTCATTCCATACCCAGAGTTCAAAGGCTACTGCAGACCAGGAATTATAAACTGTGATATGCAGAGGTTACTCGGAAGTGAGGTGAATCAGCAAAACAGCCAGGGTAGTTTCAAAAGCAGAGCATTTTTAGCTGGCGTTTAAAGCATAGAGCCCTTGCGTAGCATGTGTAAGGCCCTGGGTTCTATGCCTGCCCCCTGCCAAAAACGAGACACCCAAACAAACGAACAAAGCAAGCCGCCCATATTAAACATATAAGAATATTTTTGGTCAAAAAATGAAATCTTTCTCATTTTTTCCTGATGCATATGGATCTCTTGGTAATTTTATCTGTTGCTTATCATAAAGACATGGATTAAAAGAATATTTAACCTCTATCCTATTATAAGAAAATCAATAGCAATAGTGTTGTAATAATGACAATGGACACTTGGTCTCCAGGACAGGGTGACAACAGGGAACAAACTGGGGGTTCATACCCTGTCTAGAGAGGGCACCTACTAGACCATGCAGAGGGCTGCCCCCTAGATAAGCACTCGATGTCAGCAGATCATGCATGTTTTAAAGAAAAGTCGTAGATATTTTTATGTGAACCATTTGAAAAATGGCAATAAAGTAAAATATTGTGTAGACCTGACACGTCCTATCTATAGCCCGATGGCCGGTAAGTCCCTCTGTCATTCTTTGTCTGGGGAGGTGAAATGGTTGATACATTGTGTCAATTTGAGGAGTTTAGGAGTTTAATTCAGCAGGGGCCAGGGTCCTCAATTTGTAAACATCCTCATCCTGTGCAACAGGACAGCAGGGAGATGGTGTGAGTGCTACACCCACCCCGGGAGCAGGCGTCCTGCTTACAATGCAAAGAGGAAAAGAGGCTCGCTTTGCCCCCTTTTTGCTCTTGTTGCTTTTGCTGTCTTCAGCTGCTTTGAACTGTTGCCCCTGGGCCAAGCCACCCTGCCTTGGAGCCAGCTGATTATGGAAACCTGTACAAGCTGTGAGCTAAAAAAACCTTTCTTTCCTAAATTTTGGGCAGTGGGTATTTTGTCTCAGCAACAAGAGAAAAGTAAGCAGGACAGGAGGGTTCCAGGTATGGCCACACCCCTTCATGTTCCATTAAGAAACTAGAAAGGAATTTTAAATGAGATAAATTCACTTCTTCATCATGGATAAGAGTTCCTCAGTGCTCTGAGTAGGGACATTATTATAGTTGTTGCAGTTATTCATTGGGGATCGAATCCAGGGCCTCAAGCATGTTAAGCACATGCTGTACCAACCCATGCCCGACTATAGCTTTGAATTTTTTGTCTTTTGTTTTTCACTACTGAGATTGAACCTAGGGCTTTCACACTGACTGACATCCCCAACCCCTCTTTATTTTGAGATAGGGTCCTGCTAAGTCACTCACACTAGGCTTGAACTTGTGATCCTTCTGCCTCAGCCTGCCAGACTGCTAGGGTTCTGAGCGTGCGTCACCGTACTCTGATAACCTTAATTTTTGAAGACAGCGTACTAAATGCTTACAAGTGCATTCTTCCGCCAAACACTGCCAGGTATCACTGCTAGAGGAGGAGTCAACCATGAGCATCGTGGGTCTGACCCGAGCAGTCTCCCTGTCTTTCCGGGCTGGGCACCAACAACTAAGGCAAAGCAGTTCCCAACAAGGCTCTGGCATGTCCCATCCTCCCCACTGCAGTTCTGAGGTCTTATTTAGCCAAACTGGTATTATCAAAGGTGCCATCCACTGATCAGGTGGAGGGAAAAGGATGCAAGGTCACTCACCCCCTGCTGAGTGACTGGGCCAGCTGTTTCATAGCCTCCCCCTGCTCCGCTGCTGTGCACGGGGTGGGTAGGAAGCACATGACTCCCCTAGGTTGCTCTGGCCCAGCCACCAGCTGCCTGGGCAAGAGAGGGCAAGACACTGCTCATCTCCAGCCAAACAAGTTGTTCTTAGAAAAGGATGTGGACTCAGCTGTCAACACACATCTCAGCGGACCGTCAAAGACGGAACTTTTGATGACAGATGCCGTTGGCGAGGCTGTGGGGAAAGTCTCCTGCTTCTCTGGCAGGATGGGTACAGTCTCTGTGGTGAGCACTTGGGTGATTTCCCCAAACCACAAATGTACATGACTTTTGACTCAGAGATTCAGCTTCTAGGAATTTCTGTTTTCGGTAAGTCTGCTCATGTGCCATATGAGTTATCTGCACAACGTCACGGATGACGGCGCCATCCCAGCGAAACAGGGCAAATGGTCAAGTGTCCATTATAGAGGATTTACTCAATAAATGATGGCACAACCGAGAAACAGAATATTATGCAGCTGGCAAAAATAACCAGGTCTCTCTTCACCTGCTGCCTGGGACTTATCTACTAGTAATGTTGATAAGTGAAAAACCAACGTGCAAAACAATATACATAATAGGTTCTCATTTGCAGAAAAATATGAAAATAATATGCATGTGTATACATATCTGTCTATGTAGAAGATACTGCTCAAAGAATACACGAAACCAATCAATATTGCTGGCCTCTGGGGAGGGGAAGTGTGGCTGGGATTACAGGCGAGAAAAAAATGTATCACTAGGCATCTTGGATTGCATTTGAAAGCCGAACCTGTGAATGCCTTTTCTGGCAGAAACGGAATTCAAATTTGAAAAATGGCAAGCTCACAAGCAAATCCAAAGTAAAGGAACCTTGAAACAAAGCTGGACTTCACACCCCAGGACCAGCACTTCTGGCCCCAGGTGACCGCGCCCTGCTGCTTTGGGAGCTGGTTCCCTCCTTCCCCTCCACTTCCTGCCTGGGAGAAGACAGTCAGTGTCGAGCAGGGGATGGGGGCTCAGCTCACGCAGGCTGGCAGCCGCACTCACCTGCTCCTTTTCTGAATATGGGTTGTTGAGGACGACAGGCATGGTGCTCTTCCCCCGCAGGTCGTTGAAGACTCTGTCGTTCTCCCCGCCAAGGGCCAGAGCTTTGTGCGACTTGCTGTCCAGGTCCCTGAAAGGCAAGGTGAGCAGGTGAGGAAGGGGTGACATCAGGTTCGAGGCCTTGACCCGGCCTCCTGCCCTCGGTGTCTCACTCACCTATCTCTCTGCACAGCCAGTGGGCTCTGGGCTCCCAGCCTGCCACTTAATAAGGATTCCCCAGGGACAGATGGCAAGGCAGCGCCAGTGTTAAGCGTGAAAGTGAACTTGCCTGCTCTGGCCCCCCCTGGCTGGCTACGCCTATCCTTGTGGACGTCATTTCTAGGCAACCGTGACATGGACTTTACACATCCCTGTCCCCTTTGGGTTCACAGGATGCCTCGCTCGTGGAGGAATTCCATGCCCCAGGAGCCTCTGAACGCCTAGGTGCCCAGGATACTGAATGGCGGAAAGAGCAGTAGGTAGAAGCAGCGTGAAAGTCCTGTGGGCTGTGAGTCAGTCTGTCCTGACCAAGGCTCCGGGCTTTCTTTGAACAGGATAAACAGAATGCCTCTGCAACTCAAGGGAACATAGTAACAACAATAATAGTAGCAATACTATTCATAATGATAGCTGCTGTTTGTTAAGCGCTTACTACATGCCAGGCACGTTATGTGTCACGTCCGCCCCTCCACCCTGTGAGTGCCACCCTCCTGCCTCCTGGCCATCTCTTCTGACCCTTCCTCCATCCATTTTACTCTGGGATGTCTGGCGCCCAACTTTAATGCTTTTGGTCCCAGGCGTGGCGGCTGTCCCTTGCCTAGCCTCTGTCCATGTTCTGAGCTTTGAGGACGCCTCTGTCCCCAGCCTGCAGAGTCCCTGCAGCTGCATCAGAGCCCCGCTGGCTCCTCTGCTTGGATAGGTTTGCACTTATCACAGGGAGTATTCTGTTTTACCCTCTTTAAAATGTCACCAGCTCACACTCGGAGTGGCTCTTGATTACAGACATTTCCCATGTCAGTGGTTTATCTACACAGCGATTAAACAGGATCGTCTGGAGAGAGGGCTGCTCCAAATGTCACTCTCAGCCCTGAAACTGCTGATCTGATGACACTGCACGACCAGAAAGGAGGGCTCCACGGAGAAGGGAGGAGGTGAACGCGTTTTGGACATCGGTCACTAAACTAGGTACTTGCACAGAAATTATGTCATTTACTCTCAACAGGCATTAGAAGCCTTATTTTACAGATGAGGAAACTGGGCCCAGAGAGGGAATACAAGTTTCCTGAGGACCCACAGCAAGCAGAGTAGAGCTGAGGTTAGGAATGAGGTCTGACTGAGAGGGTTATCCCAGATCCCTTCTTTATTTAAAAAAAAAGATAGAGGGGAACCAATGGAGACCACTATGAAGCAGATGTGAGCAGGACTTAAATCAACCAATTGACTTTTCATGTTCACTTGTGAATCTGTCCAAAGCCTAGGCTCCTTGTCTGGAAATGGCAGACTCATAGTAAGTGAACCTCTGTGAGTCACTAATCCCTACTAAAACCTGTAGTGGTGAGGAAGTCAGAAAGCCTCAAAGGATAAGACAAGATCACAGCCAAGGACACCTGGATCACATTTCAACTAGATAAAGACTGTAGCCTCAGGTATCTCACTCGTGGGTGGATTAACTTAATATCTTACTTGGAGAAGTCTTTGAGTGATTCTGCCCTTCTTGAGTACTCCCCTCCCTTCTTCCGATCACCCAGTAAATACAGGCCATTCAGAGAAGGTCTTGGTCTTAGCCGTAAAAGAATCTTGAATTCTGTGAGAGGGCTCTGATCCTCCTGGAGCCCTGAAATCATTTCATTTGTCTCTTTTGATTTAGCCTTCACCGGTACACTCGTTCGGGAGATTGGGGACCTGGTCAACTCGTTCGGGAGATTGGGGACCTGGTCAGCCCGCAATGACTAAGGGATACTGTTAACCCGATAGGGAACAACTAGTCAGGAAATCCATTTTGAGTCAGCAGCTACACAGGCAGAAACCCAACATTTGCCTGAGGGTTACAAGACACAGGGCAAATCACTCAGGCAGCTCTGACAGGGCTGAAACCGCCTGTCTGGCCTGTGTGAACTTGCACACTTCATTTACCATCATTCATTCTTCCCAAAGCCACAAACACCTTTGTTTAAAAACTGCATTAGAAGTGTTTTTTTTTTTTTTTCTTTTTTGCCAACACAAACTTTATTTTGGAGCTGTGTGTGATGAACAGGAGAAGAGTATTTTTAAGATGAGTTCATGGGGGATGTCAAAATCAAGGTGTTTTGCTTCCATTCCCCACTGGGTGCAAAATCCGAAGCAGATTTAGTTAGAGTCCCTGATCCACGACCTGGCAGTGGTAACCGGGTCTGAGGGAAGCACAGGGCACAGCACCGGAAGTCTGCTCCCCCGGGACCTGTCGCTTGATGGCTTTGCACGAGCAGCGTGGCGTGCTTCGCAGTGTGCACGCCTGCAGCATCTGACAGGAAGGACATGAGCTGCGGGTTGGGTGGACCCGGGTCAGCTCCTGGCTCTGCCAGCGATCAGCTGTGCCACTCTGCATGTTGTGTGACTGTCCAGTGAGAACCAGCTCGTGTCCTTAGCCGAGAGGTACCTGCTACTACGCTCACTACTAATTTGCTTCCAGGAGGATCAGACGGTAACAGATGGATTTCTAGTTCAGCAGAATGCCGTGGCGATGGAAATATCACACCTGCCCTGTTCTGGTTGGGGGTCGTCACCCACAGGTGGCAAACGTGGCTGTTGTCACTGAGGAAGTGAATTTTTTATTTTATTTACTTTTAATCAGTTTAAAATTAAAGAACCATATGTGGCTTGTGCTTACAAAACTAGGCAATGCAGCTTGGAGCCTTAATAGCTCAAAAAAGTGGGGAATGATGGTGTACGTGGTTTCCAGCTATGAAAAGTGGTGACGTCTCTACTCAGACTCTTTTGGAGCTGTCCCATCTACTTCATGGAGACCAGGAGTTCAGAGATTCTCTGCTTCCCTTCTGCCCTCCCACTTTGCATCATTCCCAGCCCTGATTCACTGTCCCCTCTTCCCAAGGAACACACCGTATCCACATCTCACCCTTCCCTGGACTCCCTTTGGTTTTCTTTATGCTGAGAGCCAACTCCTACTCATCCCTTCAAGGCCCACTTTCAATGCCCACTTTATACCCCACCTATCTTGGGGACTAAATGAGGTCATGCATGTAAAATGCTTAGCATGTAGTTGGCATTAATTCAATATAAACTGTATCTGTCTTCATTTACAACTATGGAAGTAGGAGCCCAGAGAGATCAGGTCACTTGTCAAGGGCCACACAGCTACTGGACAGTGGAAGAAGTTTGGAAATGAGTGCTATGGTTTGTGTCTGGACGTCCCCCCAAAGCCTCATGCAGTCATGGGGCGGGCCTCTAGAGTTTTTGACTCATGGTCCAGTGCTGGGATTATGGGTGTGAGTGCTACACCAGCCCTGGGGCGGGTAGCTGGCATACAACATAAGGGAGGGAAAGAGGCTTGCTCTCTGCTGCTCCTCCCTTTCTGCTCTTGCTGCTTTTGCTGCCTTCTGCTTCCATGAACTGTTCATTGCCCTCTGCCATGTGCCACTCTGCCTTGGAGCCAACCAAGTATGGACTGAAACCTCCACAAACTGTGAGCCAAATAAACCTTTCCTTCCTTAATTTTGGGTGTCAGGTACTTTGTCTCAGCAGCGAGAGAAAAGTAACTAAGACAATAAGACATCTTCTCACTGTTATCCTAGCTGAGAATGTCTGAATAGGGCTCTAGGGAAGCCCTTTGGTTGGATCTGACACAAAGAACCTTGCATTAAAGTATCGGATGTTTCTAACAAACGAGGTCTAGATATCAAACACGTGTGCGGCTGGTAAATGCAGTTGTGATAACTGCTCTATCTTCCATTTAAAAAGATACACCAGGAACCCATGCAAGGAGGCAGACAGGGCTTCTGTCCACTTCTGAAAAGGCTGGACAGGGAGACTCTTCTTTGTCACTGCTCACGAGTCCTGGTCCCATCCTGAGGGACCTCGATTAGAGCAGAGTTCCTCAGCCTCGGCGCTGTGGACATTTTGGGCCTGAGAAGTCTTTGTGGCAGGTCCTGTCCCGTGCACTGCAGCATGCTGAGCAAACTCCCCTGCCTGTATACACGGCACACCCAAATGACAGCAACCCAAAATGTCTTGGTGTTGCAAACTGGGACTCCTGTCTGATGACACACGCTGGTGCGGGCGTGGCCGAGCAGCCCAACCTCACGTTTCTCTTTCCTCCCATCCCTGCTCCATGAGATTGTTGCTAATAGCTGGCCCTCGTTCCCACACGGGATGGAGGAATTTGCCTTGACTAAGTGGCTCCCACGCACCCTTTGTCTCAGGTGCTCTTATGGCTCTGGAAAAGCTGCTCCTCCCACAGACTCGGTGTTACAGGGGAAACCAATGCCCCCAGAGCTACCCACCACACAGGTCCTTGGGTGAGCATCTGAGCCGATGGCAGGACAGTCAGAGCTCAGATTCTTGAAGCTGCGGGTTCAGGTGCAGACCCTGGGTCCTGTGGTCCAGAGGCATACAGGGGGCCCGTTTCCCTGGGAGCGCTCTGGCAGGGACTGCAGCAACAGACAGTAAGGTTCCCTGCTGGCCCAAAGCAGCCCCTTTCCCCTTCCCACCAGCGCCTTCCTCAGCTCTTAGGGTCCCCTGTCTGTCTTCACCTAAGTCCAGGTGTGCAGCTCTGCCTCTCACCTGCTGAGTACTTTCTACCTTTTCTGGCAAAAACGAAACTAAATCCCTCTTTCTTTTTCCCTAGCCGATGATCACACCCAGCCAAGCACCGCAGTAGCACCTCTAAAGCTTCGCAGAACCTTTGCCAGATCCCTCCAGCAAGGTTTGTGCAGGCCATGGCCCCTGATGCTTGCTCTGGGGAGACAGGGCTTCTGGGTCTGACTCCACAGAAAGCTTGCCCGTGGGCCAGCGCTGGCCACTGACCAGCCCCAAAGGCCTGGTGGGAAGCAGGTGGGCCGGCCTCTGTGCCAGGCCCAGGGAGTGGGGGGCTCTGCC